ATAATTCAAAAAATTGTGCTTTGAGTTTTTTCTGAGAGTCATTTGTGAAAAAAACTGACAGAAAAAGAACAAAGGATTTGACAAGGAGTAAAGCTACTAGTTTCCTTATACTATGGTTTAATGATACCCATCGGTACCTATGTATATCTTCTGATAGGGCCAACTACATATATCCATTGTACGCCACTGGCGTTATAATTTATTTAGTATTATTATCGGGGCAGACACAAAAGTATCTGTCAATCGCGTAGGTTGCTAAACGATCGACTGCTAACAGCCCATCAATTTCACTGCTCCATTGTTTTCGATTTCTTGTAGACTAGAGAGATGGAAGTATTACAAAGTAACACACTACGAGTATACACCAGACCACTACTATTATTACCAATTGAAAAATAATGAAATAATTAAATTAATATTAAAAACAAATTACTAAAACGAGAAAAATTTCAGTAAATCTCACGTAAAAGTCCATACTGTGTCATGTCAATTTCTAGAACTTATTTTTTTGTCGCAATAGATATCATATTGTATATATCAAATAACAAATAATGCACAAGGAATATACAGGGTGGTCCGAATGTATTCAGAAAACCTCAGCATATAAAAATAAGTAAAAAAAGTTCGTATAAATATATGTCCTAAAATGCTTCGTTTCGGAGATACAGGGTGTAGATATTTTATTTTTATATTTTTCCAAATAATTTCTGAACTAAGTATAGTCGATATGCGGATGAAAATTGATGTTTGGGTGTTTTTTGACATTAGAAATTTCATTTCGGCGTCAATATGACTCCTACTTGTAAGGGACACCACCTACATGTGTTTCAACCGTTTTGAAGTGTAATAACTTTTCGTCCGTACCTGTATAAACCTACTAAGTGGAAAAATATAAATTTTTGTCATTTTTTACGTAAAAAATGTATCTTGGTAAAAGTCGCTACGAGCAACAGTTCTCAAGATATTCAGAATAGAAATAGTTAATACATGTCATTGTTGACAAAAAATAAATACATATATGTTGAGTAGATAATTATTTGATGTTGTTAAATTATTATTATTTAAAAAAAGGTGACTAACAAAATTATGTTTCACCTTTGACTTGGTGCATTTTAAGTTGTTTTTAAAGCAGAATTGATTGAATTAAGGTTGTAATTTTCATAGGTATAACGTTTTTTCCTCGGTTTTTTCATTGAAATTTCGATGAAAAAATTGTTGGTTACAACCGAGGAGCCATTCATTATTATTCAATTATTACATTATTATTACATTAATGTTTACTAAGCAATATTAACCAAAATAAATTTGACTTATTTATATTACTAACCTTACCAATTTTTGTAAATCAGCTCAATTTTTCATGTTTCAAATTGCACACCAAGTCATTGATTGGGTTCATTTTTTAACACACACACAAAACAGTTTTAAAACACAACAAAAAAACAAACAGCAAAAATTAACAAAAACCATTAACAAACAACAATTTTTTTTTCTTTTAGTTTTTTCTTTAATTTGAGTATTTTTTTCGGTGAAGTGCCCCTTCACCTACGAGCCGCCACTGACAATTCGGACCACCCTGTAGTGTCAAATCGATGGGTCTGAGGGTGCAGCCACACTATCCTAAAAACGGCGTATCGGCGTAACGGCGTAACGACCTTGAATCGATTTCTAGTAATTCTATTGGCTGAAATTTTTGACAGATGAATTTGACAGATAAAATTTCTGACAGATGAATGTTTCAGCCAATAGAATTACTGGAAATCTATTCAAGGTCATTACGCCGTTACGCCGATACGCCGTTTTTAGGATAGTGTGGCTGCACCCTCAGTCATTCCAGATCGATCAATCGATTCCATTCGATCAACCAGTCGTCCGTACCACAAAATTCACCAAAAAAACGTTAGTCACGTCAGTTAGTTTTAGGAAACATTGATAATTGAAATCATCAAACGTAATCCCGTTGGAACACGCTGGATAAAAGGTTGTAACAAAATATAAAAAGTAATTAGATAGTAATCAATAAACTTCTATCGTTAAATAACCTAAATTTAGTATCACATAAAATCTAGAAATTAATTAAAACGTATTTAATAGCATGCGATAAAACAATTTATTGAAGGGTTTTGAACTTCAGACTCTTAAGGTCAATATACCGACAAAAATTCGTGACAAAAAAATGTTACCACACGCCGTTATAACAAATGTAGGACCTTATTTAAAGCTCGCACCTATGACTAAACGATTCATCCTTATTTAAGCAACATCCTGTGTGTTATATCGATTAAAAATTCGGTCGTAATTCGGCTTATCTAGTTTCCATTGCACAAATAATTGATTAAAATGACAAAGAGAATTATACAGGGTGGACCAGCGTTCAAAAAATGCTATTTATCAAGTTTCGTTTATTTGGTCTCTATATGTATAGATTATCCAATTCATTTGAGATTTTATTCATAGCAGTAATCCTCTTACCAAAATAAAAAAAATAGGCAAATGTAAGTTATGCCTGTAAAAATCTTTTTATTAGATTGTTTTTTATTTAATAAAAATATCAATTATTTTGGTGTTTATTCTATTCGCAAAAACAAGGGTGTACCTAGCCCAATACACGTCGATATTTTGTAGTACTGTCAAGAATCGAAGTCAATGTCGAAGTCAATCAATCAAATAAAACCAATGACTAAAGAATATAAGGACATGTACGGGCTGCAGCAGAATTTGTGACATTAGAGGCCATTCTTTTGATGGCAAACAATGGGTCATCATTTGGTCACCAGTGACAATTTTAGCGATTTTTAATAGTTTGTGTGTAGTGAACTTTGTATAACCTTTATTACAATGGTGATTAGTTGTTCAGCTTTCAAGTGTAAAAGCAGCAGCGATAAGAAAGAGCCAGGAGTTACGTTTCACAGGTAAATAAACAGTCCACTCCAAATTTTTAGCGTTTTCTTATTGAATTCCGATAATTATTCTTCAATTTCAATTAACATCTATATGTACTTGATATGTGCTATACGTCGATACTAGTTTTGTACCTTTTGTTAACATTTTAATACGTTTTTTCGTAATTAATTAGTATGATACACCATAGGCGTAGTCAAAACAATTATCAAAAAATATAAATATTGCTTCAAACAGCTAGGTTAAGAAAAATATGTGCCACGGCACTGTTTGGTGACATCGGCACAATTTGCTCTCGGGTGTTATTTGTCATTGGATTCTTTAGTCATTGAATAAAACTTAGCTCTAACCTAATTACGTCGATCTGCTATCTATCGGTGTCCCGTTTAAACATGGTAAAGAGAAAATATGTTTCTTTTTGCCAGATCTACCACCTCTTAAAATACTTGCACTTATTTCTGGGACACCCTGTATAGTTGTTCTCCTTTTTTGTCACTCAGTACATCCGAATTTTTATTTAACAAATAAGAAAATTAAAGCACTCAATAACAAGTTTAACACAGAATTATGCAAACAGTTGTGTGTCATTTAAATCACAGGTAAATAATTGCGTTTTCATTGTCATTTTTGGATGCCGTCTATCGAAATCTTTCCTAACTTGTAGGACAGACTACTGTTGTTGCAGAATGCATATTCCTAAAATAACTACCTTCGACAACAACATGCAAACAACAAACTAAAGTAAACCGCGACATCTAAAAACCAGATGCTGCAAGATTGTTTTCACAAAAACCATCTGTCTTTAATTACTTCTTTCTCACGTTGTTAATCAGTGGTGAGGCATTACTGTATCATAGCATAATAAAATAAATTTCTTCTAAATTGTTTATTGTTTACCTTCTATCGTATACAGGGGCGTACAGTTCACGTTAGCAAAAGAAATATTGCTTCCCCTAAAAAATGTGTAACTTTTAAATGTTGTTTTTTTTTGTAAAAATAATTGTCCTGAGATTTCTTTCTTTGATTCTTGATTAATATGTGAAATTTACAACAAAGAAGAGCACCATAACCACAAGTTAGTATTTTATACAGAATATTCTGTCTGGATCATATACAGGGTGTCCCACTTAAGATGGATACAAGCCAATATCTTGATTGTTTGTTGAGCGATCTTTTCTATTTTTGGCAGGAGGCTGTATGGCTCTAAGACGTACATTTTGCCCAGGGTAAGAAATGCGATACCTCATAGACGTACGTTTTAATGGGGTTTGATATTTTTCGAATTAAGAGTAAACTACCCTTAGGACAGTATTTATTTCAAATCTGATAAATTATATTGAATCCTCCTTACCCAAGATACTTAAGTTCTAATTTTGATAAATATTGATACAGGGTGTGTTATTAAAATAGGACATTTTTATTTTTATTGTTATTTTTTAAGTACTTATCACGCCACTGGATACTATTTACGTTAAACGTAAATTCTGCATGTGATTCGTTGAAAAAGATAGATGAACGAATCGTAGGAGTCGATTCAACATGAGAAATTGAATCGTGTGATTCGATTCACTAAAAAGAATCGTAATGCCCATCACTAGTAACTATTAACATTTAAAGACGTACATTTACAAAATGTACGTCTTATAGCCATACAGCCTCGTGCCAAAAATGAAAAAGATCGCTCAAGAAACAACCAAAATATTGGCTTGTATCCATCTTAAGTGGGACACCCTGTAGATCATACAGTTATTAATTATTAATGTATAGTATAACAGAACAGTATTATTAAACATTGTATAATATAGATTATAATATGGATAATATATATATAAGTTCTGATCGAAAAATAATGTTTTAGGAAAAGTTACTCATGAAATTATTGCACAGGGTGTTTTAAAGTTAGGGTAAAACAACCTTTCAATTAACCCTGTATAATAAGCCAAATACTAAAGTTTATGAATTAAAGTTGATAAATTTATATACAGTGTGCTAAAAAATTCATGAAAATGGGGCTAAAAGTAATAAATCTCCGTTGTTTTTTTTTGCATCTGAGTGTGTATTAAAAAAAATCTAAAAATAATATTTTAAATGAAATAAACCTGTCGTTTTCCTTGATATCGTTCTGTATAAGGGCCCTAAGGGATTTACAGGATCGGCATTGGGAATTGGGAGATTCGAGATGAGGTTTCAGGTTCATACCGCTCCATAGAGCAAAATCTGACTTGTACAGAGAACTAGAAACGTTTAACTTTGTTAATTCAATTTTTATTACACGGGGTTATTATTTACGCCATATGACACCTAGTATTGTAGACTTTGAATGAAAAAATTAAGGAAGCAGTATAATCGCTGTCCGTGTGATTGAACGAGTATTAAAAATAAATCGTGAGATTCGATTCATTTCTTAAAAATCTAATCATTTAGCTACAATACTTCGCGTCAGATGACATGAATAAATAACCCTCAAGCAGCACTATTTTTTCTTTATACAATAAATCATATAAGGACAAACTTACCGAATAAGGTCTCCAGAGCTGTTGTGGCTCTTCAATGAATCCATCGAGCTGTCCAAGCTTAAGCTAGATATTTCTTCAACGCTGGTACCCGGTTTGTCCATCGTTACCGTCTTTAATTATTAAGATATCGCACTAAAACTAAGCAGAAACGACCTTGATTAAAAGGGGTCTACCTTAAAACGAGCATTTTTATTCCAAATAAGGCTCAACATTGAAGGGAATGGAAGGTTTTCAGAATTATTTATTATTTGCTCGTTGGAATTCAAAGTCTTGTTATACTTACATTTTTCTGGGAGAAATGGTTAAATTATCTGAACATAATACGGAAAATTTCGCGGCTAAATTTTAAAAAAACTACATGAAAAAATAATTTGACAGTGCTAGAGATTTTGATTTATTTCTTTTCTCGCCATTTTTTTATCAGCTGCTGTCATTTTTTTTAAATCGACCGTCTTTACCTAGAGTACGTTCCAAAACCACTCTAATTTTACCAGACCCAACCAGGGATGGGTTTGTACAAGATTCGTTCCATTGTTTACGTTTAAAAAAAAAACATAAAAATTGCTGCGTTTAGTCCTTAGATCTTATAAACTTCGTGGATAAATGCCAAAACTATACCAAAGATTGCCCAAAGTCAAACATTGCAAAAATTATAAAAAAAACAAACTGAAAATATTTGTAGACTGCAAAGGTAGACTGGAAGTTAAAAAATAGCGAACTTTTATTTAATTTAATATTGACTGTACTAACGCAATTTCAATAATATTTCATACAGCCATTATGCAAGTAGCTAACTTTTTTATGCTGTTTTATTTTATTCCGTTCTTTGAACCCTAGAAATGTCAAAAATTTGCAACAAAAATCTATTGTAAAGAACAATTTTTCACCGCTATTATAAATAAAGGACCCTGTATTTTGTATATCATGAACACAGTTGTTATTATGTAGTTTATTGTGTTGTTGTTGTTAAGCACCATGTTTTTTTATGTAAAAAATGATTCTATACTGTTAATTTTTTACATACCCATCCCTACCAAAGGAGCCAAAATTCGGAACGTACCAATCAGATGTTATTTTCATTTTTCACCTGACATCTGTCACACTACAAATCTAACCTCAACTTTATTTGATAATGGGAGATATTAGATAAAATCACGATTCGTATTTATTTTAGGTATTTTATTGTTGTTGAGTTATACAATGTCATCTCGCAATAACTGGTTTCGTCAGGCAATACGAAAAAACACACCTCCTATAGGTGAGAGGAAAGCTGCAAGGTATAAACGTCTTCTCGCAATCGGCTATGCCGTTTTAGCCTGGCATGCCTTCGCCATAGGCTGTGTCTACCTTTATCGACGCAAAATGTACCCCGAGGACTCAAAAACAGACGAGGAAAAGAAACTAACTACAGGTAAACATATTTTTATTCAACTTTTATCATGTACTTTCAATAGAATTTTTCTTAAAATCCGAACTCTTCATTTGACACCTTTAAAACAGAAAATATAACTATTTTCTGTGCTATAAGGTTTTAAGCGTATATTTAAGGTGTTACAATTACAAAAATAATTGAAATGGAACACAATTTAAATAAAGCATTTTATTAAAAATAAAATAAACATATTTTCACAGGTCAATACTTTGCCGAAAAGTTACAGGTAAAGAATCCTCAAATTTACAGAGTAGATGGGTTTAGTGTTAAAAAAATAGAGCCTCTGGAAGGACAGAAAGTTGAATCAGATCAAGCAACACTTAACTAAATTATTTACTAAAAAAATGGGAAATGAAAAATAAATAAATCACAAAAATACATGACACTAAGCGAAAATAAAAAGAACACAAGACAAATGGAACTGAACAGGAAGCAAAGTATACTGAGTGATCTATTTAAGAAACAAAAATATTTATATATAAATCAACTGTTTTGTCTCTTTTAAAAAAGTTACTTAAAAGTTTGATATTCTTTTAAACAGATCTCTCAGATTCATTAATATTGTATATTGTAAATATATTTAAATATGAATATAGCCTAAATGTAGATATGTAACTTGTTTTGTTTCTTTTTCTAAAATAATATAACTTAATTTACAATCTTGTAGGAACAATTCTATTATATTTTTTCATTACATCATCACAGCCTTTGATTGTTTTGATTCGTTCGAAATTTTTCCATTTCTACCATTAAAGCAGATCTTAAAGGAAGAAAGTTACTGCCAGTTAAAACAATTTTACTGTTATTATTGTTTACCTGTAAGACTCGTATCGCATAACTATATGCTGTAGTTCCTGCTTGTAAAGTCTCGTGAGCATGGCATTATAACATTCTAATTCAGACAGTCTGAACATGTCCCACCTTAACTTGTGATCCAATTCTGTACTGGCTACAAAAAATATTGATTTTTATTGTACAGTTCAATTCTGAAAAAAATAGTTTGTTCTTTCGTGTAACAACTAGTTTCTTACGTGTAAAGAATAGTTTTTAGATTACAGTCGAGGGGGAACCTTTGGTGTTACACAGCAAAATAAAACACTAAATCACCACAATACACCAAAACACTTTTACTTTTACACTGGACGCGCGTTTTGCTAACCATGTTAGTATCATCAGCAGATGATTATAAACTAAAGTACATCTACAAGTTGAGCGTTTATATACTCGCTCAGTGGGCACCGAGTAGGCGTGGCAAAATCTAGCCAACCGAGTCAGAGCCCACTGAGCGTAACAGTTAGATTTCCGCCACTAGAGTAGTAGGAACAAAGAACTTGAAGGAATTGGACTGATGCTTTCATATGCATCTAATTGCCTGTAATTTGAGACTTGTTTAATTAATTTTAAATTATTAAGATCTATACAATGTTCTTTATCAACAATATGTTCGGCAACGCAAGATTTATCTGGTCTACCATATCTTATCTGAGCTAAATGTTCTTTAAATCTAGTTAATATTGATCTTCTAGTTTGCCGAACATATTTCTGATTACAGTCTTTACAAGAAATTTCATAAATACCCGACCTTTCCAGTGGAGGTGTTTATTAGGTAATCCAAAGGATAAAACACCTCCACTGGAAAGGTCGGGTATTTATGAAATTTCTTGTAAAGATTGTAATCAGAAATATGTTGGGCAAACTAGAAGATCAATATTAATTAGATTTAAAGAACATTTAGCTCAGATAAGATATGGTAGACCAGATAAATCTTGCGTTGCCGAACATATTGTTGATAAAGAACATTGTATAGATCTTAATAATTTAAAATTAATTAAACAAGTCTCAAATTACAGGCAATTAGATGCATATGAAAGCATCAGTCCAATTCCTTCAAGTTCTTTGTTCCTACTACTCTAGTGGCGGAAATCTAACTGTTACGCTCAGTGGGCTCTGACTCGGTTGGCTAGATTTTGCCACGCCTACTCGGTGCCCACTGAGCGAGTATATAAACGCTCAACTTGTAGATGTACTTTAGTTTATCTGCTGATGATGAATCTGCTGATGATGCTAACATGGTTAGCGAAACGCGCGTCCAGTGTAAAAGTAAAAGTGTTTTGGTGTATTGTAGTGATTTAGTTTTTAGGCATAAAAATAGTTTTTTAATCTTACCTTCAAAATACACATTTAACCAATGAGGTATTTCTTCAAGTAAGTAGGGATTGGCCGGCACCAAAACGCTATGAGGCTGGTAATGAGTGGGCCTCATATGTAGATAAGTCTGCGGGGCAAAATTGCCGTAATTATAGCAAGGGACTAAACATGGATGCTCGTACTGTGCTTGCCTGGTGATGTGACTGAAAAATATACATTTATACAGGGTGTATCTAAAAAAAGGGCAAGTATTTTAACTGGTACTATAGTTAGAACCCAGAAACACGTCTAATCCCTTTTATTAAATAAAAATAGCCTAATGACGTATATTAAATAATGGTGATCTTGAATGATGCGGCAACACTGTAATGCTATAAAATATTTTAGAAAGTTGGAGCAGGTGCCTTTATGTAATACATAGATAAAGGAAATAAATTTAGATTGGATGAATTAATAATAATTGACATTGAATGATAATTGTGAAAAAGTGGCACTAAAAACTTAAAAAGCTGTGCTGTGGACTGTGAACTGCAAAAACCATCGTGGAATAACGTCGGTTTTCAATGTTTTATATGCAACACACTGTATTTTATTTATAAAATTAAAAGAAAATAATAATAAATTTGAATAAACAATATTTTGGCGATATAATTCCGGAAAAACCGAACCGCTCCGAAATTTTTAAAAGCTTTGGGTCGCGACCGTTGCCAGAATAGCGCCAAATAGTGTTTACATTGATAAATTAAAAATCGAAATTTTCAAAAAATTCTATCACCGGTTCTCCATAAAGATCCAGACAGAGCCTTGTTGTACATGTTTTGATGTAAAATGCAGGTAAAAAAATAATGAAAAAGGAAGAACTGACATTTTTCGTTCTTCCCAACCTATACTTTCAATTATTTAGACATACATTTTTATTTCTAGACAAAATAAAAAATTATCCCTAAAAACAAATCATAAAGAAATGTAATAAACTTTTAGAACTTTAGAAGAAGACTTTTGTTAAAGATATTTAACATGTAAAAAAATAGTTTTTTACATTACAGCTTTTTACTAGTTATTATACAAAGTTTTTGATTTTAAGTATGTACTTTTTAACTACCGTATGATCGAGAAAAAACGGCGTCAGCGATGGCTATGAAATGAAGATCGCTGTCATTTTATATGTAAATTTATATGGGAAATGTCATCGATCGTCATTTCCCAGCCAACTGGACGCCATTTTATTTCGATCATGCAGTACATTATAATTCAACCACAGTATAAATCTACCACCCTTTAAAATACTGGACTCTTATTTACAAGAAACCCTGTATAAAAAAAAACAGAATTACAACTTACTTTACGTAATAAACTCCATAGATGGGACTTTGTATACACTGCCAACCTGTGGGCAAACCTTCCCTTTCCAAAGGATGCGACCAATGGGTTGTTTTAGTATTGTGATCAATGTAATACTTCCTTCCCCTCAAAGTATAGTCCACCGACCATCCAGGTGGCAAAGGAAGCTCTTCTGAAGGTTCTAAAAGAAAAAATTACCTAAAAATGAAGATTAAACTACTTAAAAACTCCTTGTACCTTGAGTATTATCGTTCCTTCCTAAACTGTGCCTCAAATGATGACCCAAAGATTCCCCATATGACATTCCGCTTTGGTACTGGTTTCTGCTGAACCTATCTTGAATCTGAGTGTTACTGTAAATGGGGGTAGTTTGATCCTGACTCAGGCCAGCACTATCGCGAGTATTCTGGTATATTGGCGAATTAGTACGGTTGTATGTGTCTTTATAGAGGTTACTATGGTCAGTGGTGAAAGGATATAGCTGGTCTATCTCAACATAGTTGGCGTTGCTCTAAAAAAATACAATTAAAAAAATACCATAGAAAATTACTTAATTCCTTACAGAGTTATCAATGTACATGTTCCCTATCGGTTGATTAGCGTAGATATGATGAGATACATTGCTAATAGTGTTTGGGTTTCCCGAAACAAGCATAGCCGAACTACTAGAACTACCCACTACATTATTTTCAGCTGAATTACCAACAGATAAGTTAGCAAATCTAAAAATAAAGTTATAATAAACAATACATTGTTCATTTTGTTTACTTGAATTACTTACCGAGTTGCTAAATCAGGCACAGATGCACTGGGAGTATATTTACCTTCATGAGCGCCTAAACCAACATCACTTATAGTGGTTTTTTGATTACCAAACTTCTGAACAGTACTACTATTGTTCTGAGTGTTGTTATTATACGTGCTCTGAGCTGGCAAAGAGGACCGGCTTTGATTTGAACTTCTTCTAGGCTCTGTAGTCCAAACATTGATAACTGATTTGAAAAATTATAAAGAGTTGTCAATAACAGTCAAATATATTGTCACATTTGATACCGAACTTACTTGGCATTTCGGGCGGAGTATCTTTCTTAACATACTTGCCAACAACTCCCTCCTTTAGAGCCCTAAGGTCTTTGTTCTTTCTAGACAGCATTGTGGCTACTTGTAATAGGATAAAATATTGTAAATTCAAAACGCCGTTAACAGAAAACCGGAAACAGGCGGAGAACGCTTTGGAAGTCGAAGTACTAAAAATAATACAGTATAGGACAAAAAGGGAGCCCTAGTACCTAAGATGATTCATAAGTAGTATGTCCTCTGGTGTCTTTGCTGATTTTATTGCGGGCTGGGTTGGAGGTAAGTGAACCTTTATGGCCGATTTCATCGTAAAAAACACACTACTTCGATTAACTCGCCCGAATTCCTGCGTTTTTACACCAAAAAGGCACGAAAACTCATTGTTTACATTCCAGGAATAAGCCACAAATTTTTTATTTTCTTTTTGACGTTTTACCTAACCTCAAATACGCATGCTCAAGTTTGACATTCATTGACATTACATTTGTATATAAAAAGTTGCATAAATAAAAATATTATCTTTTTATTCGTTTAAATTTTTAATTACGATCGAAAAAGAAACCAATATTAGTAAATAATATATTATTAAAATAAAATGCTTCTATGATATCTATAAATTTATTTATTATAAGCACAATACAAATATTTTGTCTTACATTATGTACGTGTTTGTTTGGTTGCATAATAAAGATTTGAAACTGTTGCTTTTTTTGAAATTTAATTTTTTTGGGGGGAATACAAACTAATAATAATTTTCCATCTTTAGGTGTGCTTTGTACCATTGTTGGATACCCATTCGATACCGTAAAGGTACGGCAACAGAACTTTTCTGCGTCTCTTTTCGTTGCAACGAAGGAAACGTTGAAATATGAAGGAATTCTTGGGTTTTACAGAGGCATATTGTCTCCATTGGTAGCTTACGGGCCTAGCAACTCAATATTTTTTGGGTGTCACAATATTATAATGAAATTAATAAACGGAAGTCACCCAGGAGCCCCAAGTCGCACCAGACATAAAGCTACATATCTGATAAATGTATTTTTTTCAGGTATATTTTGTATAGTGTTGGCAGTTTATTTTATTGCACATATTTTTAGGTAGCTTAGCTGGTTTTGTCCAAGCGGTAATAATGTGCCCAGTAGATCTAGTTAAAATAGCTTTACAAACTAACACTCGAAGTTCCAGCGTGTGGGTTCACAACAGTAACAGCATCGAGTATGAAGGTCTCACCCATGCAGTTCGGACTATCACAAAATACCAGGGACTGGCGGGATTGTATAAAGGATTTGTGCCTATGATGTACAGGTTGTCGAAAAAAAATCATATATACAGGGTGGCGCCTCTTATACCCCGCGGAGGCTCCAAGGAGAACGACAGTTTGTATTGAAATGAAATTTTGTGAGCATATGTAGGTTAATTCAGGGCAATTTTTAAAAATATAGAGAGTTCCACAGGGTATCCCCAAAAAAAGTTACATATCATAGTTGTTTTTTGTAATGCAACACCCTATATATTAATTGATTTTCGGATTCTAGGTGAAAAATAAAGGTGAGTTTTATAAGAGACATTTTCTAGAAATAAAGAACATTTTTAAATTACAATAAAAGCTACCTAAATTGGAATTTACCCGGTGTAGCCTAATATGTAGTTAAACTAACTATTCTACTTTAAATCAAATTAAAACTTGACCCAAAAAGTTATACAGGGTGAGACAAAATTAATATTGAACATTGGTCACTTGTAAAAGCCTGTTATTCTTTTATTTTAAATGGAACACCCAGTATATTATTCCGATATTTAATGGAGAATTCCTGTCTCTTCAAAATACTATTAAGGTTGCCTCCCCTCAAACAAAGATTTTCCTAGATATTTTCATTTACATGATTTGATCTGAGTAGATCTTTATTATTTGATAAAACCTAGGTGGCTGTGATATGTCTGACGTTACTTCAACATAGCTGTCTAATTAGTTCAACTTTAATAACCAGTTATAATTTTTTGTCAGTTAAAACAAAAAAAATTCTCAGGAATTTGCCGAAAATGCAAACTTATCCTACATCAGAAAGAATTGATATGATTCTATTAGTTGGTGAATGCAGTGTACATTCACCAATTAATAGGATAGTTAAATGCTCCTGATTTTATCTAGTCTGGGTTTTTTATGGGGATATGTTAAAGACAGTGTTTAAAAAACTCGACCAACTAGTGTCGACAGCATGAGATAAATTATTGTAGCTGCTTTTTCAGGTAGAACTCCACATATGCCTTTTAAAATGAAAAGATCCTTTTGAAAAGACAATCATTTTATGCAGTTAACAGGAAAGGAAGCATTTTGAGCATTTGATTTCATCCAGCTAATTTTTGTACCATAATTATAGGTTTATATCTAGTTTTAATTCTGTAATAATTAAAATATGTTTTAAACGTGTATTTTTTTATTACCCTTGAGTATTTTACTCCACAATCTTTAATTTTTGTTAAATTAATAAAAGCTATATCACACAGCCACCTAGATTTTTTCAAATAATAAAGATTTACTGACGCAAAATCATAAAAATTAAAATATCTGGGAAAATCTTTGTCTGAGGGGTAGGCAACCTTAATAATATTTTGAAAATATATAAATTCCTCATTAAACACCGGAAAAATATACTGGGTGTTCCGTTTAAAATAAAGGAGTAACTTGCTTTTAAAAGTACTAATGTTCCATATCAATTTTGTCTCACCCTGTATAACTTTTTGGGTTAAATTTCAATTTGGTTTAACATACAACGGTTACTGTAATTAAATATCAGGCTATACAAGGTCAACTAAAATTTAGGTAGCTGTTATCGAAATTTAAAATTTACTCTTTATTTTCACAAAATGTGAAATATGTCAAAATCCTTAGATTTTAGGTATATGCTTCTTTAATGAAACTCACCTTTATCTTTTTCCTAGAATCCGAAAATCAATTAATATATAGGGTGCCATTAGAAAAAACACAACTTTGATGTGTAACTTTTTTTGGGGACACCCTGTATAATACTATATATTTTTATAAAATGCTTTCAGTTAACCTACATATGCTGTCAAAATTTCATTTCGATATAAACTACCGTTCTCCTTGGAGCTTCCGCGGCGTATGAGAGGCGCCACCCTGTATATACTTTGTTCTATGTTAAAAAATAAATTTTTGGACAAAAGTTTTGATCCCAAACGTGTCAAACATGTAAAAGAAAAGTTTACGTTTTAAATTCAGAACAAAAAAAAGTGTTTCTATATACAGGGTGGTCCGAATTGTATTCCGGAAACTTTAGCAGCATATTCTGCAGATAAAAATAAGTAAAAAAGTTCGTACAAATGTATGTCCTAAAACGCTTAGTTTCGGAGATACAGGATGTAGAAGTTTCGTTTTTATTTCGATTTTTTCCAAATAATTTCTGAAGTAACGTCAATATTTGTATGAAAATTGGCGTCTGCGGTTTTTTCGACATGAGAAATTTGATTTTGACGTCAATATGACTCCTATTTGTAGGGGGCGCCACTTACATGTGTTTTAACTGTTTTGAAGAGTAATAACTTTTCGTCCCTACCTGTATAAAACTACTGAGTGAAAAAATATACATTTCCGTGATTTTTTACCTAAAAAATGTCTCTCAGTAAAAATCGTTACGAGCAACCGTTATCAAGATATTTAGAATAGAAATAGTCAATGCATGTCATTATTGACAAAAAATAAACATGTTGAATAGATAGTTATTTGACTGAATTTGACTTTTTTTAAATTAATTATAAATTTTTCTTCAAAAAAATGATGATAAAATAGTTTCTGTTGAACTTTTGGCACAAAAACATTTAAAATTTATGATTTGAGTCTAATAACTATTTAGTCAACATGTTTAATTTATGTCAATGATGACAGGTATTGATAATTTAGATGCCAAATATCTCGAGAACCGTTACTCGTAGCGATTTTTACCAAGAGACCTTATTTACGCAAAAAACGTCGTTAATGTATATTTTTTTCACTCAGTAGTTTTATACAGGTACGGACGAAAAATTATTACTCTTCAAACCGGTTAAAAAAAATGTAGGTGGCGCCCTCTAATACGGCATTTTATTGCGCAACTTTGCCTCCATTTAACCGATCCTGTATCTCTTACGGTTTCCGAAATCCCAGTGATGAGCGTCGAATTCGAGCCACCCTGTACATACTAATGGTATATTTTTTAGAGATGTACCTACCAGTGGAGTTTACTTAATCGTTTATGAAAGCCTTCTTCCTGATGACAGAAAATGGTATCAGAAAATTTATGCTGGAGGTTCGGCAGGTATTAACATGCAGCAAAGTTTATGAACATAGAACAAACGATTACAGTTGAGAGTTGGAATCTTTGGTGTTACATAGCAAAATAAAACACTAAATCAGCACAATACACCAAAACACTTCTACTTTTACACTGGACGCGCGTTTCGCTAACCTTGTTAGCATTTTTCAAAAAATTCTTCAAGATTTTTCAAAAAATTCCGAATTTTCTATTTCTTCCTTCTAGGCGTGTTTCTGGGGTTGAACTATACTCCCAGTTAAAACACTTGCACTTATTTCTGGGACACCTTGTATTTTGTAGTTTATCATGCAGTTTGTAGAAATCTATACTGGGTGAGAAATCTATACAAATATTTGGGTCAACTTTCGTTTAGCTGAAATCAGTTATTAGAAAAAAAAATTGTCTTTAAAAAGGTACTGTGAACCACGGAAAACACAAATTTTCCTGCGGAAATGTGTAATTTCCAAATTTCGCACTGCTATAAAAAAAATACATTTTGCGTTTTATTTTTAATATTTTTCTGAACATATAGCACAAAAATTTTCCTGCGGAAATAAGCTGTTTTCATTTTCTAAGGAAATTTATTAGACTTTAGAATAGCTGAAATCAGTTATATAAAAAATATATATATATTTTCGCCTTTTAGAAGCATTCACGAATTGAGAAAAATAAAAATTTTCCTGTGGAAATAAACTGTATCCATTTTCTGAGGAAAATTATTAAAATATAAAAACCATCCACAAAGAAAAGCTAACCAAAGCAACCCAAATCCTAACCAATCTAATAATATTTTTGCAAAATCACAGTTAATTATTAAAATATAAAAACCACAGCTTAACACCCTCCACAAAGAAAAGCTAACCAAAACAACCCAAATGCTAACCAATCTAATATTTTTGCAAAATCACAGTTAATTATTAAAATATAAAAGAAAACTGCATGATCCAATGATTTTTTGTTTTGAATCAGCCGTATTTACGTAAAGCTTTAATAAAAAAACAAGAATAAGTGCATCATTCCGAGGTACTTATAGTTTACAAGAACCTATATTATCTATTCTACAAGAATTGTTATTCCTCCGAAAGATGTTTTAACCCACCCAGCACCCCTATTCGCTCCCGGGTCCCGTAAGATGCCCGTAAGCTTCTAAACTGAAAAATATATTAAAAACAAAGTGCACAGAATGACATTGACACATTTCCGCAGGATTTTTTTTGTATTTCTTTGCTCATATAAAACAAATATAAGTTCATTTCTCATGTAACTGATTTCGGCTATTCTAAAGTCAAAGCATTTTTTTATGTAAAATAAAAATAAAAAATTTCCGCCGACAATTTTTTGTGTTTTTATGTTTAGAAAAATGTTTAAAACACACCCCGAAGACTAGTTTTGATGTAACAGATTTCAGCTATACCAAAGTCCGAAAAAAGAAAATGACGCATTTTCGCAGGAAAATTGTTGTATATTTGTACTCCTAACGCCTTCTAGAACGCATATATAAAGTCATTTTTTATATAACAGATTTCAGCTAAACGAAAGTTGAGCCAAATATTTTCAGGGCTGGTAGATCTCGATAAAAAAAAAAATTCTTTTTACCGTTTTTCAAATAAGTCCAAAATAATCGAGTTGTTTTACTGTGAAAATTTCCAAAAAATGTTTTTTGCTTAACTTTTGAGAACCACTGGATCTTTTCTGGGTTTTCTTTTTTGTACATTTAATCTACTAACCTATCTAACCTATGTTGCCATATTATCAAGAAATTATGTTTTTTTAAGTAAAAAAATTTCCAAAAAATTTCAAATATTCCAAATATTTTTCGCGAACGAAAAGAATATTATTCACGTTTTATTCATTATTATTTTTTTGAACAAAAGTTACAGTTCAAACTTTTTTTTGGAACATAAGTTCAAAATTTGAACAAAAGTTCAAAATTTGAAAAGTTTAAAATTTGAAATACTCGTGAACTTCGTTTTCTTTTGCTGTATTGTTTCTATAATTGTTAGCCTAGATTTTCTCTACAGGTATAGCGGCAATATCCGTTGTTCTCCCTGTTGACGTGGTTAAAACACGTATCCAAGCTGACGACCCTGTATATCCCAGATACAAAGGCATGAGGGACTGTATCAAAAAGATATACGAAGAGGAAGGTTACCGGATATTTTGGAAAGGCTTGCCTGTGATTACTTTAAGAGCATTTCCGGCAAATGCTGTGCTTTTTATTGGGTACGAAATGACCCTGGATATTTTTAGAGCTACAAGATAGATAATAAAAAGTAAAGCTTAAAAGTACTTAACCTGGTTTTATTAGCTTACAGTCGGTGTTACAGCATTGTAATAACTATCCGAAACATTTACGCGGAATCCGAACCGTGGTCCTCGGCCATATCATTGGCAATGGCCTACCAACTTGGCTGGTATAATCGACTCTTATATCCAAATAATACCGGGAGTGTCTGCGAAACCGTTAAAAATTATTATTATATTAAACCATTATTTTTTTAATGGAGAATTAAAAAATGAACATTTTTTGTATTTAGAGTATCTCAAAATTTCGTTTTTTTTTAAATAAAAAAAAAACGAAGAAAAATTATTTTATATTTTAGAAAGTTTGGCGTAGAAGTTAGAACACACTGTATGATTACGATATTTATAGCAAAGTTAGTACGGACCATCTGAAGTAAATACCTAATATAGTTTTGATTTCAACACAGTTTTTGTATTTTTAATAGTTTTTTTAAAAGGCTGAAAAATATATATTCTTATTGATTAATATCTCTGAAACTACTGAAATATATTTACTCATATTAGTACGAGAGCTAGCAACATCGGAAAAACAAGTATTTTAAGAGGTCTGGCTCTTTGACATATCTTTTACTATGCTCTCTAGAACAGCATGCGGCCCGTCCTACTGCGCATTGAAAGAAGATCCTATATTTTTATTAGTCCCATAAATTCTAGTATTGAATATTAATCGAACATGTCTCCATAGCGCAATGCGTAGAGTGTCCGACCACGAACCATTGATTCAGAGTTCGAATCCGGGTCAGGGCAAGGACTTTTTTATTTTATTTTCGTTTATATTCTGATAGTAAAGTATTAAATATATTTTTTTTTAATTACCAGAATTATTTCATACTTTACTATCAGAATATAAACGAAAATAAAATAAAAAAGTCTTTGCCCTGACTCGGATTCGAACTCTGAATCATCGGTTCGTGGTCGGAAACTCTACGCACTGCGCTATGGAGACATGTTCGATTTAGATTCAATACTAGAATTTATAGGACTAAATTAATAAAAAATATAGGATTTTCTTTCGATGCGCAGTAGTGAACGCAACGGGTATCGGCAGCCAGACGGGCCGCATGCTGTTCCAGAGAGCATAGTAAAAGATATATCAAAGAGCCAGACGTCTTCAAATACTTTCTCGAAAACGTTGCTAGCTCTTAGACTATAAGGGCAAGTTTAAAACAGAAGAAAAATAAATATAAATAAAACAACATGACAAATTTCAAAATGAGAATATTTATTTCCGTACCGACATACGTACGTACATTGACGAACTGCAGATATTGTAAATTCCTCAAATAATGAGGTTAATAAGTAGCTCTTATACAAATTATTAAGAAAGTTCCTCTTTATAAATGTATTGATTTGCCTCAACTTCGCATTATTAAATAATTAATTCAATTAAAAAATAACAACAAAAAAATTAATATTAGCTCACAGTTTGGGGACGCGCGGATCCACAAAGGTTTTCTAACTCGTCATCGGTCTACTATTGTTCATTGTAACTAAATGTTTTTTTTTTCGAATCTCTAATAACCCAAAGAAACAATTTTAACGCATATCATTAGGATTTTTATATGGTAACAAACTTAAAAAATAATTAAATTACTATTAAACGAGCAGATGCTCAGAAAACACGCTTTGTTTTTCGACCATTGGCTGTTAGATCACAAACTGTCAATTCTCTCTTGTCCATGTGTATCCCACGAAACGGAAAATTTTCAAAGGTTATTTCTTAGATCTTACAATTATTTTGCCTTTTTCAATGACTAAAGAATCCGAGGGCAAATAACACCCGAGAGCAAATTGTGCCGATGTCACCAAACAGTGCCGTGTCACATATTTTTCTTCCGAGCTGTTTGAAGCAATATTTATATTTTTTGATAATTGTTATGACTACGCCTATGGTGTGTCATACTAATTAATTACGAAAAAAACGTATTAAAATATTAACAAAAGGTACAAAACTAGTATCGGCGTATAGCACATATCAAGTACATATAGATGTTAATTGAAATTGAAGAATATTATCGAATTCAATAAGAAAACGCTAAAAAGTTGGAGTGGACTGTTAATCACCATTGTAATAAAGTTTATACAAAGTTTACTACACACAAAATATTAAAAATCGCTAAAATTGTCGCTGGTGACCAAATGATGACTCATTATTTGCCATAGGCCACAAATTCTGCTGCAGCCCGTATATGGGCGTTACATATCCTTATATTCTTTAGTCATTGGTCTTTTTATATAAGCCAATTTCGAGCGAACAACCGTTGGTTATGGTTGACAGATAAACAATGATATAAACGTCAGTTCTCTACCGATTGGTTGACAGCTGACGTTTAAAGCATTGTTTTTCTGTCAACCATAATCAATTATTGTCAACCAACCGGTAGACAACTGACGTTTGTCTGACATTTGTCACCATATCATATCACAAAACGACATAACCGAAATATGTTTTTAAGTTATTAGTAAACAGAAAAATTTTATAAAAAATTAATTATTATAATATATTCTATATTTTCTATGATTCTTTGACTTACTATCAAAAGTCAAAAACAACTGTGCCGAGTGAAAACCCTTTCTTATCAAATCCACCACGCCTTCTACAAAATAATATAACTATGTTTAAGGGGAAAACAATAAGAAATTTAACAATATATTTTTCATATATATCTACAAGTTTCATAGTGATTTTTTTTTAATTAATATGATACATAAGTGTCTAACAAGGGATGGGCTTTATTTTCTTTTTTTTTATTATTTATTGATGTCAGCCCTATATATTCACACGTTAGCAAAAGGGTTAAATGTCTTTAGCTGTCTGCGGAACAAGAATCATAGTTAAGGGGTATTTTTTTTAATTTCATTTACTATTATAAAGGGATCTTTTCAAGTTGTAAGTGTTCAAATTAATTTAAAATAAATTTATTAGGGAGATATTATAGTACTAACCATTTGTTTATTAGATTTAACTTACAGAAAGATTAAAATAAACGTATTATAAATATAAAAATACCTGATAAAATACTATCCCTTACTCATTATAAGTACTTGAATAAAAATTCTTTAAATACCTTTGAATAATAGATATAAAAAATAAAGTACTTATAGAGCAACCATGCAACATCAAGTTAAAATATATACAAAATAGATAAAACATTTTATTTTGGCGAAAAAAAAAACGACGTCACGGTAACCTACGAAATTCAAATTGATGATAATTTTTGTCTTTTAAAATTAGATAACGTCCAGGGACCGGCCAAGTACAAATTATCATCGACGGTCTTTTCGAAGGCTACTTGACACCGTTTTATTATTTATGCGAACGAAATATTTAAACAAATGATCAGTATAAAAATAAGCACGTTTATACAGAGCGGTCAAATTTTTCCGAGGTAACACTGAGTACAACATCCAAAGAAACTATTGACGGCTCGTTATTCCTATCAATATTTAACAAAGTTAACGTCATCGTTCTAGTAAAAAAAGTATACATTATTTTTTCTAAACGTTTTTGGGGCCTCGAGAAATCCGCTCACCCTGTATGCGGTCCACAAACAGCACAGATCAGGTCGTATTTTTCTCACATAGAAGAAACTGAGCTTGCCATGCATGTTATAAGGTGTATGTAAAGTCCTCATTCTTCTATCTAAACACATTTTTGGCTATATAAGTATGATTTTTTTTCATATTAAGCATTTTTTTGTTCTCTAAAGTGAACTTAACAGTGCTTCTAAAGTGTTTTTCTCGTGTAGTGGCACCTCTTTTTAATAGAAATATCTCTCTCAAAATTTTCTCGCGTTTTCAAGCTGTATAAATTGTATCTGGTGTCGTGAAACAACGGAGTTTCAACAAAAATCTACAGAATTTTTTTTTCCTTGAAACTTTTCTATAATAAAATAAATTTAAACCATGCAGTCAGTTAAGATTAGATTTTCAACAACAACTGTTTCAAGAAAATATTAACACAAAATCCACTATAACATAGATACCCATTTACCAAAATTTCTAATAGATTTTTGATCAACCCTGTATATTCAACAGCACCTAATGTGAATGTATTTTAACAAAAAAAAAACACTATTCTGGATTAATTTAAACATACAGTATGTCCGCGGATTATCATTGCAAGAGGAAAAAACTTTTTCAGAACAATTCTTCATTCTTCATAAAAGTTTTTGCTTCTTCTATATTGTTCTATAATAATATAGTACGAGAGCTAGCAACGTCGGAAAAACAAGTATTTTAAGACGTATGGCTTTTTGATATATCTTTTACTATGCTCTCTAGAACAGCATGCGGCCCGTCTGGCTCCCGGTAAACGTAGCGTTCGCTACTGCGCATTGAAAGAAGATCCTATATTTTTTATTAATTTAGTCCTATAAATTCTAGTATTGAATATAAATCTAACAACTCCATAGCGCAGTGCGTAGAGTTTCCGACCACGAACCGATGATTCAGAGTTCGAATCCGGGTCGGGGCAAAGACTTTTTATTTTATTTTCGTTTACATTCTGATAGTAAAGTCTTAAATAATTCTGGTGATTAAAAAACAAACAATTTTTTTTTTTAATTTACTATCAGAATATAAACGAAAATAAAATAAAAAAGTCTTTGCCCTGACCCGGATTCGAACTCTGAATCATCGGTTCGTGGTCGGAAACTCTACGCACTGCGCTATGTTCGATTTATATTCAATACTAGAATTTATAGGACTAAATTAATAAAAAAATATAGTATCTTCTTCCGATGCGCAGTAGTGAACGCAACGGGTATCGGCAGCCAGACGGGCCGCATGCTGTTCCAGAGAGCATAGTAAAAGATATATCAAAGAGCCAGACGTCGTAAAATACTTCCTCGAAAACGTTGCTAGCTATAACGACTAATAAGAAAAATACAAAATATGAAAATATAGTTGAGTTTTTTCACAAAAATCAAACTGCGTTTCTATAGTTTCGTTCGCCAATTATACGAGGGAAAACAAAATGCTGATATTTTGGTGAAAGATTATTATAGATTATTACAGAACCAGCAAAAACTTTTATAAATGCATTTTTCTCAAAAATCTTAATAACAAAAAGTTTTTCCTTTTGTAAAGATGAGCGTGGGGATATACTGTAAATAAAAAAGTGAAAATCTGTCCTAAAATGAAAAAGCTTGCCCATGTCACATTTCTTTTTAAAAAATACATAACAACGATCAAATTTTTCAAATTTTGAAGAAAAACACCACTTTTAATAGCATAAATAATTTAGTTTAACACAAAGCTACAAAAAGTCACAATATCAAAACTTGAAACATAAAAAATACTAATATTTTTAGAAAGCCAGCTTTCTAAAAACCATTTCTACCGCGCTGCATGAAAAAAAGATCGATCGTTGCTAGATTGACACATGTCATACCCATCCACGTTTAATGTTAAGCCATCTACCGGTGATGTGTACACAAAAAAACTAATTACTAGCTTAAAGAAAAATCGATGATTTAGAACAAAAAAAAAAAGAAAAAAAACAAGTGGTGCACGTTACAAATCCATGATTTCATTTTGAAAAAAAAACAGTCCGTAGCTAGGTAAACATAATAACAAATATAATTAATATAATAGTAAATATGACTAAGTTTGAGGTTATACTACAAGTTATACAGCCTTTCTAAGGGTTTGTTTGCAACCCTGCATCGAAAAAAATAACTCTATTACTCTCAAAAAATACATACGTTTGTGCTTGTCGGAGAGGAGGTGCGGTCGAGAATAGGCCACGCCCAATAACTTTACCGCGCCCTTTATAGTCAACGACTGGGGGCGGGGCAAAGTTTTTCGGGTTCGAACAGTTAACGTTTGCGGGCGCGGTTTAATTTTGGCCACGCCTCCTCGCCCAGCCCACCAAAATAATAACACTCTTCACGCAGCTTATTTACAGTTTCTTTTATAACCACATATTTTTATGTTAATCTATAGCACAAAATACAAGTCTATTATGACACAGCACGTTCACTGCGAAATGTTTTTTCCTGTTTTCCTTCTTTTTTTTTATTTAATTTAATATGCTTGGGTCCTCTTTTCGTCCCTTCCTCGATAGGTGGCGCTATTTGGCGGCGAGTTTAGTCGTTTCAGTTGCTAATGATGAATGAACAAATCTTGGATGTATTGGGTTTACGGTTTGTTGTATTTTTAGTTCCATTTCCGAGATATTATACTGGGCTAACCGTCGCGTTGGGCGTTTTCTAATTAAAAAAGAAAATTCCGTTAATATTTTGAATAATTAAAAAGATAAAAAAAAACAAGCTAATGCACAAACTAATAATCACAAAATTTAATAAAAACTAACGTAGAAATACCTTTGAAAGTGGTGTAATGTGCTTATCAATCAAACTTACTTCTCTGACTGCAGTCAAGGGTAATAAAGGACCTTTAATGTAACGTTCTCGTTCAAAATAGTTTATCGGGGAAGCTACAAGCTCTTTGCTTTGAATGTTTAAATGCTTCGGCATATTTTCAACGCACAGATTTCAAGAAGTATCAGCAATTAAGTATATGACATAAATTAAGAGTGCTTAATGTGATCAATTGTTTTCGGTCATTTCCTGTTTGATCGGAAATGACTAGGAGTTTCGATTTTTTGATTCACTCGGTGTTTTTACTTCATTTGCTTTTTCAAAAATAAGCTAATAGATATTTGGAAATTGTCGTCTTTATATCGTATGATCGAAAAAAAAAACCGGCGTCCAGTTGGCTGGGAAATGACGATCGATGACATTTCCCAGCCAATATATAATATTCAAAATATATGGTCTTTTCGGTAGATCTAACGAAAAATCAGTAGAGGTGGCATCACTGCGCAATACGGCCACCGTACCTCTGGACGCGCCCATTTTCCTTTACGCCACTCCCACCTTTATTACGCCCCTCCCGCTTACCTTACACCCGGACGGCGCGTTGCGCGGTGGCCTCGCCATCGTATCACTTCTTGCCGCCGAGGGGATTGTTGTTCTGCGCTCCCGGGTTGGTGGAGGCGGGGTTGGCGGAGGGCTGGACGCCGCCGACCGCCCCGCCCCCCGTCGAGTTCGGCAGGTTCTTGTTGTGGTTCAGCTCGAGCTCGGCCAGGCGTTTCCACAACTCTTCCCGGTCCTTTTCCCGTTTCTTCTCTCTGGAAGAAAAGCGGAGTTTGAATTAATTTTATTGCTATAAAATATGAAACAATAAGATGTTACATTGTCGGTAAAAAAATATGCGTTAAATAGGATTTTCGTTATTATATGGGACAGAAATTAGACGTCATAGTTTTTTCTTCCTAAAATCCAGAAATAAAGTATACCTATGGTAATCGCAAAACAATTTCCGATGCACGTGATCTACTTTGAGTGACAAGCGATGGCGACAGCGCTGCCAGATTGTCATGGATTTATGAGATGAATCTTAATTTAAGAGTGACAAACAATATATTTATTATAACATTTTTTAAAGATTTTTACGTTTTATTTTTAATTTAATAACTAATATTTTAGTAATTAATTGATTTATTTGTTTTATAGCTTATTTTACTTATTACATATTGGCAAAAACTAGCCCATTATGAAGATTATTCTAATCGTTATTATGAGTTATTTAATTATTTATTGATGTACATCTTAAAACGCCATAACTGGTAATAAGTAAGAGGGTGCTATTAATGCACAAACTAATAAGCACAGAATTTAATAAAAACTAACGTAGAAATACCTTTGAAAGCGGTGTAATGTGCTTATCAATCAAACTTACTTCTCTGGCTGCAGTCAAGGGTAATAAAGGACCTTTAATGTAACGTTCTCGTTCAAAATAGTTTATCGGGGAAGCTACAAGCTCTTTGCTTTGAATGTTTAAATGCTTCGGCATATTTTCAACGCACAGATTTCAAGAAACGCAATACAAAAACTCGAAAATTTAGTTCTTAAAGTGTTTGTGCTTAAAAGTACAATTTTTAAAAAAAGACTATGAAAATAGGCAAAGAATCGAGAATTACTCACAAAGATTCAACAACAACACAATATTATAGAAAACAATGACTGACATTAGGATAATTGTCAAATAATAAACGACAACCTTACAAAAATTATACTTTATACTTAAAGAGTTTACAACCATTCACAACACATGCGCAAGAGCGGTTTTAATTATAATTGGCGAAAAAAGGTAAAAGTTACATTTTTTACTAATTGAACAGTACCGTATGATCGAAAAAAAAACGGCGTCAGCGATAGCTATGAAATAAAGCTATTTTACATGTAAAATTAAATGGGAAATGTCATCGATTGTCATTTCTAAGCCATCTGTACGCCGGTTTTTCGATCATACGGTATTTTTAAGGCATAAATAATTTAGAAGTCGTTTAAAACACTATGTTTTAAGCAATAAAAAACCTGAAAGTGCGAACATCTAGATTATCAAAAAGCCAAGGTATTTGAATTTTCTCGAACATCAATCATTTACATTGCCAAGTTACTAATTCATACAATTTTACTTCCTCTAAAGTTCTAAAAATACCTGGAATATCTCATACTGGATTCAAAGCCACAACATTTTGAAAGTTGACTTTTTCGCCACAGAATTAGATATGATAAAACACTTTATTTTTTTTTCTTAACTCACGCATTTTGAGTGAGTTAAAAGCTTCTTAACTCACGCATTTTCATTACCGCACTCCTTGTTTAGATGACTACCAAAGAGAAAAAAATATTTTGTAAAACTTGTGTAAATATTTTGCACTAAATTGGAAAAATATGTTATGAGTACCTTTTCATTTCCATAGGTGTGTACTCATGGTACAAAGAATACAAGGTATGATCGATAGCGGCTCCAATTTCGTTCAGTTCGCGCATACCACCTGTGACGTCACTAGGAAAATAATGAATAAATAAAAAATAAAGAAAGTTGACAGGAGATCTGCATTTTTGGGGTTATGGTTAAGAATTGTTTATTTTTAAGACTTTTTAGTTCGTTTAATTTAATAATTACTAAAACCAGCAGTTCCAAAAATATATTTAAAAATAATAATTATATATTAACATGGATTTGGACGATAATAGGTAAAAATACTAAATTTATTTCTATATTCGGTATAAAATTGTTTATTAGGTTTTTAGTTTGCGATGTTTATGGTAAATAATTTTCATTTTTATTGCCTCTGAATTCACGAGGACAGAGATGAGGATATCTATGGAAAAGTAACCACAAGAGGAATTGTTACATCATTTAAAAAATGTTGGGAAGTTTATTGTTTCCCATCGAAGAGTAGAAAATGCCAATGCAGATGAACGTATAGTAATTGTGATAGAAGTAATTCCAAGGGTGAAGTTTATTATAATTAGTGGAAGTAATACCAAGGGTGAAGTTTATTATAATTAGTGACCTGTGCTTCTTTTTATATGTAGATGTTTCTGGTTTTGAGAATAAATCGGTTGAACCACAACCAAAATTTAAAGGAAGTATTTGCATACCCAGAATATGCCCATCAAGGGTTATATAGCTCAAATTTCCTTTAATGGTAGGCAATTATTCAATGCAAATTAACTTTTTAAGCGACTGAAATATTAAATAGTTTACAATATGGTATATCACTAAAAATATATTACTTTTAGGTACAATTAGGGCCCGATACATTTCAAAAAGTAGAATATTATTTTATATTAAATGAGGTATTGTACTAACAATCAATTTATATTAATAACGGAGATTAAAAAATAACAGAATAAATAGTTCTTTTTTTTATACTACAAAAATAAACTATAGAATACAACAGTATTTAAAAAACTAAATAAAAAGTGATATTCCGGCCGAGATTCGAACTCCGGTCTCTCGCTTCCTAGCCCGACTCCTTATGCACTGCTCCACAGTAACTTGCTTAGCGATAATTCAATGACGGTATATAAACAAAAAAAACAGGTTTATAACAATATCCTGACGATTTGAACTGGCGCGCGGAGCGTGCTGACCAATAACGCCTGTTATCACCTGTGACGTAGCGACCAACCTGCGCAATATCATACCTTGTATTCTTTGTACCATGGTGTGTACTTTTTTCTAGTGCACCATTTTTTATACTTAGAGTATGTATATTCATACTTCTGTTTCGATCTTGCTGGAAGCAATCCAGAAATGGCTCTAAATGCCTCTTCTTCAATGTCAGAGGGAATACTTTCCGAATCGCTCATTTTTTAAACTAGCGACATCAATATTATTTACTGTCATATTGACATTGCCATGCATGGTGTTATTTGAACAAAGGTATTAAGGTAATTGATTTTTAGGATAGGTATATAGTTAAGTACAATAATTTTTAAAATGCATTGTGTGTTTTTATAGTTAGAGGTAGATAAAATATTGTACAATACACGCGAGTTAACTCCAATAGGATACTTGTGTGGTTACACAAACACGCGTATCTCAATTAGGGAATGCAATCCCGCAAATGCGGGATCCCTCTGAGATTTCGCGGGATTTACCGTGCGGGATCGACACATTACTACTGGGTAACCGAATCGATCTCAAGATCAAACCGCTTCGTTCCGGGCCGATGCGTCGACGCTCGGAACCCGGGGGATTCCCCTTACGGCTTGGCCATTAAAAATAAGTGAAACAAACAGGTTAGTTGTTAAATTTCTTTCTGGCGTATGTGCGTAAGTGAAGAAAAACATTTAACTAGTACTTGTGGACAATTTCGTCAAATAAACTGCCGCACATAATTATTTATCGGGACAAGCAAAATTTTAGGGTAAAATTAAAGTTGAATATCTCTTGAACTAAAAAAGATCTTGGGATGCGGTTTGGACCAGGTTTTAGATGAATCTATTGTGATTAAGATGCTGATGTGGTTTTCGAAAATATATTTAGCGAATTCTCGTATACAGGGTGTTTCATAAGAGTGTGAAAATTTGATCAAGAATCTTTTTACCGCAAATTTACAATTTTTAAAAAATCGAAATTTTTACCAAGTACCTTGATCGGTTTTTTAATTTTTTATTGTTTTAAGAAAAATACGATGATTTTTCTAAAAATATGCATTTTTAGTCATACGTATGGTCCTAAATGGTACAAAAGGCTTTGTACATTCTGCATATGCCAAAAAATTATTGATATAGTGTGTATCTAAAAGCAGATAACTAACACAAGTCAAAAAAAACTTCAACATCAGAATAATATTTTTATTTATAAAATAAGTAGATAAATTATAATAAAATTTAAGTTTATTTAATATAAAATATATTCTTTGAACACTTTGTATACATCGGTCCAAATTTCTGGACAGCTAGTTTAAGATACACGCTATATCAATATATTGTGGGCCTATGCAAAATGTACAATGCCTTTTGTACCATTTAGGACCAAATGTATGACTATTGTTTACAGTCCCGCAATTTTGCGGATCCGCGGGATTGATTGCTTTAATCCCGCGGGTTTGCGGGATTGAGATTTTGGTGCGGGATTGCATTCCCTAATCTCAATGATGCTGTTAACTCACTTGTATAAATATTCCCATATATCCCTCAATAATACCACACCTTGATCAGACAATATTTTAGACGTTGTTGATCAAAATAATAAATTGAAAAAACGTAATAAATCTCCGGATATGTAAAAAAATGCAACCTACAACCTTAAAGTTCTTAGAACAAGCTCTCTCATCAGTATACATCGCAAACAAACAATTCAAATGAAAGCGCCGTTGCCAAACGCAACGAATTCTCCCCGAAAATACCTACTTTTGCCGTTCGGCCTTGTAGCTGACCGTCAAATCGTCGAACAGTTTCGAGTTCATCTCCATGAACGTCTTGAGCACGTTGTACACCAGAGCCACGATGGTCTGGTTCCAGTGCTCCTTGGAGATGCGGTAGAGGGCGGGGAACATGATGGGCATGATGACGTGGTTGTTCTCCTCCATCAGCGACATGATGTACTCGTTGTTCCAGAAGTAGAGGGCGCGCTCGGCCACCTGGAAGTGCGGGCTGGAGACGCAGCGCGCGATCTGGCGGAACAGCGGCTCCTGGATGCGGGTGAACTGGGAGGGTTCGATCACGTCGAGCACCTCTTCGATTTCGCCCAGAAACATAACCTAGAAATTGGAGGAAAACACAAAGTTTTTAAAATACATATTAGGCCAGTCTAGAGGTGGGAATTCTAGTTCCTTGGGAGGAACTAGTTCCTTAGTTCTAGTTTCTCCAGAGGAATAGTTCCTTGAACTAGGTCTTTAGTTCACAATAGTTCCCGACTAACACTGACATCCCCTTGCTTGCTAATGCGTTTCGTTGTCAGTCAGAACTATTCACAGTATGATCTGTATAATTTTTATAATGTACGGAGATATAACGAGACGTGTAATTGTGTATGTTAAAAACATATAGGTAAGTTTTATAGCAGATAAAAAAAATTAAAAAAAAAACTCAAATCAGAATTTAAAAAGCTATATCACAAATCAATTGGAGCAAATATTACAAAAATTTTACGAAAAATTGCATTTTTCCTCACTTCAAGCTTTATGTTTTTGTCTAAAAATTCAGAATATCTACTTCGTTTTATAAGATATTTCTTAATTTTAGGGACTTATTATTTAAAAAACAAACTACAAATCAAAAACAGTATCCACGACAATTTTCTGTGGTAATTACCCCGCGCCGGCTGCGGCAATAGACAAGGCCGAATCCATCGTCGTCGCCTTGTATTATATCTCGGATCTGCCGACTGAATAGATTCCCGTGAACTAGTCTTTTAATAGTTCCTCTATGTCCGGATCCGATAACATACGGCTCGCACTCCCCACGCCTGCCTAGCATCAATCGCGCTGGCTGATCCATACGTAAACTAGTCTTTTATTTAGTTCCTCTAGTTCCTTTAGGTCCGGATCCGATAACATATGGCATAAGGCTGGCACTCCCCACTCCTGCCTACCATCAGCTACGCGCGCTAGCCGATCCGTCGCCGTCGCATATTATTCTATATCGGACACAGTCTCGATCCCGGAATAGGTTCTGAGGAACAAGTCCTTTGAGAAACCAGGAACTAGTTCCTTTCATTCCGGGGTCGGAATAGTCCATTGGAACTAGTTCGTTCACGAACTACACACCTCTAGGCCAGTCCAATAAGATCTATTATAGGGGTCACTTGGAAAAGTGTTGGAAAGCTAATTATGGTTTTGATTTGTTCAGTTGACATGAAAGGGCAGTATCCTAGCTTTGCACGGTGCTCGACCGCCGCGCCGCTCGACTCAGGAGGATCAAAATATGGTAAAATCCTTGGATTTTTTTTCAGATTTTTACCTATAGTTCCGAAACTTTGCGTTCTAGCCAGTATTTCACTATTACAAACATTAAAGACATGAAAACATTTGTCTTGTATTTGCCTAACAAAATTTTGTAGCCGGCAAATTTGTTTTAGGAGTAAGAAGCAATCAACAAAAGCATTATTATTTTTTAAGATGACCGCAGCATTTCTTATGTCAAAAAACTCCCAGACATTATTCTATTCCGGAAACTTTGGCAGCATATTCCAAAGATAAAAATAAGTAAAAACTTAGTATAAATGTATGTCCTAAAATGCCTAGTTTCGGAGATACAGGGTGTAGAAGTTACATTTGTATTTCGATTTTTTTGCCGGTAATAATATAGTTTCCGGAATACAGTTCGGACCACCCTGTATAATGCGTCAGTACTATTCTTGAAAAATTATACCTCGTCGTATATTTTTTGCCGCATCATTGGTTGACTCAAAATCTGTATATGGGTGAAAGGTTTTTATACATTGTTTCGAAATGTCCTACCTCTTTTTGGCTGCACGTCTTGGGCCAGAACTTGAGCAGACCGCGAACCACCGGCTCCGTCAGTGTGGGGTCTTTTTCTAAGAATTGTACCACGCAGTAGGCAAGCTGCGCGTGGTACAGCGACAGGCACTTGACCTTATGCAGCGGTATAAGCACCTGGAAATCGGGATAATTTTCATTAGTCACACGCAGTAGTAATAGGTTTGTTCCAACATAGCAGAGAACCGTTCTTGGTAAGATTACGCCCAAAGACATTTAAACAAAGGGAGACAAAACAATTTACGTTTTATCGCGATCACGTGTTAACGAATACGGTTCGAGATCCAAATGTTATTATTGTTATTAATATTTTTTGGGTACCTATAGTAAGTATATAACTTTAATTAATATAATAGTTTTCTAATTAAATTATATTAGGAAATTACAATGACAACTAGCGGCATCGTTGCGGATTCATTTTTACTACGAAATTGTCGAAATCTGTAGGAATTACGCTGACATTTGACGTTTTCATTTGTTTTCATTCAACTTATATTTGACAGCGCGCGGTTGTGAGTTTTCTGCGGTAGTTGAAAGATTTTGTAGCTTTTGAACAACTTTCTAATAATTATTAGTGTTTATTGTCAAGAAAACTATTTAAAGTAGTTTTTAACTATCTACGATGGTTCGTCAGTGCATAGTTTGTAAAAAGCTAGACTATTCTAACCAGGAATTCATATTTCGACGATAAGTGTCATTACATTTTTTTACCTTTAGCCATACTTACAGTAGCGTATCTAGATACTTTTAGTTATAAGTAGATTATTACAAAAATACTATATATTCTTATTTGTTGGCTCTTTCGATTGTGAAATTAGAGTTACCCTCAGTTAGACCTCAGGTAAAACTAGTTATAATGGAAAGTTGATCTGAGACAATCCCAATCAATTTTTGATAAAATTCATCAATTTTTGATAAAAAAAACATCACGCCACTGATAGAGCCAAATGACAGAAAAATAGATGAAACTCAACCGTGTTGTCATATTTATGTACCCATCTCTTTTTAACTGTCATAAAAGTGTCAATCCATGTATGATTCTAAAAAATTGAGTTTTATGAATGGAGTGTTCTGTCTACCCATTTAGATGTCTTTGGTTACGCCTATGCTCAGTAGAGAAAATGCGTTCCATCAACGTGAGAATTGTTTAAAAACAATAACTTTTGCATTCCAACCAGAAATGTAATCGTTCGTTCAACGAGAACAAAAGATGCGTATTAAAACTATACAATATATGTTAGCTTATTATTGTTTTTATTTAATTTCCTTGTCTTTTTTCCGTTTTAAATTTGCTGAAACAAATACAAATTTACGTGTTGGAACAAACCTAATATATGTATGCATTTTCTTGACTTGTATAAATAAACCTTAGATGACAGGTATGTTTCAGAGAAATAAATAATAAAATTTATGTTTCATTAATTACACACATATTTTATGCATTTCTTAGAAGTTAAGTAATAAATTGATATTTTATTTAACACTATTCCATTTCAAAAAAAAGCAAGTTAAAGTCTTGTTGGTATATAATTTAAACCTGATTTTGTCCGGATCTTTTATACTCTAAATTACGCTAAATAAAAAATTAATAAATAATATGACATTTTAAATGCATAATTTAACGACCATATATGTTAAATTAAAGTAAATAAATTATACATATAAAAATTAAATATACCTTTACATTTACATACATAAAAACATTTAATTTTTCCTCTGCTTGTAATTCCTAATAATTGGTCCTCTATAAATAGATTGTTAAAAAAGTCTAGTATGATAAAAAAATATGATACGTTATATTAAATAACAATTAAAAAAAATAATGAGCTCATAGTACTGAAATAAATATAATGAGGGCAGTTTTGGTCTTCAAATAATTTTTGTTTGTTTATTAATAACTACTGAAGTCTGTCCCACATTAATCAGTGAAGTAACATTCATATTTAATAAATAAAAAAATATAATAATTCTTGTTACAAAAAAAATATAATAAACACAACGGAAATACAACTGACGTGGCGTATGCACGAGTACATTTGTAGTCCTAAAGCCGCGTCCAAGCTACTCGAACAAAATGTTCGCGAACATATATAATTAAACAGATACTAAGTGAAAATTGTGAGATAGGCAGATTTATAAATAATAAAGCCAAGCGCCGAACGGCTAGCTTGTACGCCAGAGCCTATGCTAGAGCGCGCGCGTTCTTTTTCCGACGGGTGTCGGTAAATCAAAAGGACCTAACGGCGTGCATTTCGGCGGACATTGTACCGGACACTTGGAAGGGTCTCATTTAATTTCGGGCGTCCATCTGTGATTTTTATTTTTTACGAGTATTCGACAATGGGAGACGCAGTTATTGACTGGGATCGTGAAAAACATTTACAACTAATTTGTTTACACAAAGGAAAGATTTTATAATTTTAATTTTATTATGGGTTGAGTGTGAATAGCTATGTAGCTAGATTTCGTCCATATAATTTCATTTTTGTTAATAAAGACCTTTATGATTATTTTTATTAAAAACCGGAATTATTATGGGATTCTGAAATTAAAAATTACTACTTAATAGGAAGTTTGACACCGGAAATGAAATTTTACCATTACATTTTTAGAAATAAATATACCGGGTGTTTCTGAAAAGTGGTTCTCTTCTATAAATTTTTAAAATTTTTAGATAAAAAACGAGATTTGGTATGTTAGTATAGGACATAAATCAGGATTGATCGACGTTTTCATTTATTTTCGGTCACTACCTATTTCACCGGAAATGACAACAATTTTTGATTTAAATGGTACCCTCGGTATTTTTTTACCGTATATGATAGAAAATGACATTCTAAATAGAATAATATATTATATGTCAACTTTTGACATTTTCAATTTAAAAATGGCCATAAATAAAGGTAACGACAATTTTACTCTAAATACCTAGTATGTGGTATCAAATTATTCGTAAAAAATGCTTTTTCCAAATATGCTGAGCCAGCCTCGTACCATTTGAAAAATTTGAGTTCTCATTAAAAATACGATTTGGGCATCTTTTAAGCGACCATGAAAGGATACGAAAAAAAATTACACGATCAAATATATGTTTCCAAAGTTCTTTGATTACAAATTAATAGTTTTAACTCAGTCTTGGCACACTAGATTGAAATTTAAAATGCTATTTTTATTTAATTGGAATTGTCTAAAATTGACGTATGGTATGTCATTCTATTCAGAATGTCATTTTCTATCAAATAATGTAAAAAAGTACTTAGGATACCATCTAAAAATACAAAGTTGTAGTAATTTCCGGTGAAACAGGAAGCGACCGAAGGTAATTGAATACGTCAATCAATCCCGATTTATGTCATATACTAACAAACCAAATTTCGTTGTATTATCTGAAAAAATAAAAAAGTAAAAAAGAGAGCCCCTATTGAGAAACACCTGGTAGAATCGGCTGAAAATGAATACAGGTCTTAAAAATACACTATAACGAATACTCTACCAACCCCTGTGACCCTCCGCCTGCTAAATACTGATTCTTCAACGACAAAAGTTCTTAAACTGTTTACCGGTTAATTTATTTAATAAAATGCTTGCACTCGAAATCCGGGCACTCGAAAAAACAGCGACTACCTAAACGCATCCTAGATCTATAGAGCAAACTGGTTGTCGCATTCTTACCCGCACCTCAGTACTTGGGACCGATGCGATGGGCTGTGCCGTCGTTTACGACCTGCTGCTACGAGTATATAGTGTGAATTATATATGTTCGCGAGCGTTTTGTTCGAGTAGCTTGGACGCGACTTAACATGAATAAAGCTATCTGTCTATTTATGGTGGTTATAGTTAAATTAGATGTAAATAAGCCATACCTTAACGAGGAACTGTTTGTGTTCGGATTTTAGAGGTAACGCAAAACCGTTGATTATAGATCCGAGAATTTCCAAAAGCTCCCCCACGCCGTTGAAATGTTCAGTCTCATATATAAACCTGCAACAACAACAAATAAATTATTAAAATTGTAATTTTGAAGAACACACTTTATTTCGACAGGTCATTAATGGCATCGCACGTATTTTATTCGAATTTTTTCTCTCTAGATACCATAATATCGAAAAAAAAAATTTTTTCTAATGGAACACCCTATATATTAATTGATTTTCGGATTCTAAGAAAAAAATAAAGGCAAGTTTTATTAAAGAAGTATACACCTAAAATCTAAGAATTTTGACATATTTCACATTTTGTGAAAACGAAGGGTAAATTTTAAATTTCGATAACAGCTACCTAAATTTTTGTTGACCTTGTATAGCCTGATATTTAATTACAGTAACCATTGCATGTTAAACGAAATTGAGATTTGACCCGAAAAGTTATACAGGGTGAGACAAAATTAATATGGAACATTAGTTACTTTTAAAAGCAAGTTACTCCTTTATTTTAAATGGAACACCCAGTATATTTTTCCGGTGTTCTTTGGGGAATTTATATATCTTCAAAATATTATTAAGGTTGCCTACCCCTCAGACAAAGATTTTCCGAGATATTTTAATTTTTATGACTTTGCGTCAGTAAATCTTTATTATTTGGAAAAATCTAGGTGGCTGTGTGATATACATTTTGCTAATTTAACAAAAATTAAAGATTGTAGAGTAAAATACTCAAGGGTAATAAAAAGATACACGTTTAAAAAATATTTTAATTATTACAGAATTAAAACTAGATAAAATTAGCTAGACGAAATCAATCATGCTCAAAATGCTTCCTTTCCTGTTAACTGCATAAAATGATTGTCTTTTCAAAAGGATTTGAAGAGACATGAATTCTCCATTGAATATCGGAATAATATACTGGGTGTTCCATTTAAAACAAGAGAGTAACATGCTTTTAAAGGTGGCCAATGTTCAATATTCATTTTGTCTCACCCTGTGTAACTTTTTGGATCAAGTTTTAATTTGATTTAAAATACAATAGTTAATTTAACTACATATTAGGCTATACCGGGAAAATTCCATTTTAAGTGGATTTTATTGTAATTTAAAAATTGTTCTCTATTTCTAGAAAATGTTAAATATGTCAAAAACCCTACATTTTAGTTATATACTTTTCTTATAAAACTCACCTTTATTTTTCTCCCAGAATCCGAAAATCAATTAATATATAGGGTGTTCCATTACAAAAAACACACTTTTGAGATGTAACTTTTTTTGGAGACACCCTGTACAACTCTCTATATTTTTAAAAAGTGCTCTGAATTAACCTACATATGCTCACAAAATTTCATTTCAATACAAACTGTCGTTCTCCTTGAAGCTTCCGCGGCGTATGAGAGGCGCCACCCTGTACAGGGTGTCCCACTAAGAATAGTTCTCGGAAAGTATTAGCCGTAGCGGCTACGAAAAAAAAATATTTATAACTAAAGAGGCTATGGAAAATTGCTGGAAATTATTTTCAAGTTTGTAGAACGACCGCTAGGGGGCGCAACTGCAATAAAAAATAAACGCTGCTAAGACTATCAAAATGTTGATCTAATAACAATTTGACGTTTATACTATTACGCGAAAAGCAACTTTTTTCCAAAGCCTACATGACTTCACTGAATCATCGTTTCTTGTTCACTATTATTAATATCTTAATTATTAAATATTAATACATCTGGTATTATGGTATTCTGGTATATCGTCGATTTTAAAATAAACTAACTGTTTCTATCTTATTTTTTTGTTAGAATGGGCCTAATCAAGAGGGCTACTGATACTGTATTGTAAAAATAAGGTAATTAAGGGCTTATTTTTTGGTATTTATTATAATCTTCGGTTTGAAAGAAGATATCAAGATGCGGTTTTCGCTGACGTTTTAAGCTTTTACTACTCTTTACTATCAGCTAAAATAACACATACTATCGTATTTAATTTCGTTGAAAAAACGCGCTATGTTTGTTAAATTGTAAGAAAGCGCCCCCTAGCGTCTACGTTCTAAACTTTATTACTATTATTTTTATGGTATACGGTATATAGAGTAAAAAACGCTCTTTTAAACGAGCCCTCGCTTGTTAGATTTTGATCATCCAGTCCGGAGTTATTAATATTTAAATAAAAACAGATCTTACCTTCCCCCACCACTTTGTTTTAGCAGATAGGGGAAATGGTTCCAACAAAAAAAAATCCAAAATTTACTGAAGATTATGAAGCTATTATTTTAGTACCCATTATCTAGGCAAAATTCTGTAAAAATTCTATTTTCTTATTTTCCATAGCAGTTGCGCCCTCTAGCGGCCGTTTTACAAACTTGAAAATAATTTCCAGCAATTTCTCATAGCCTCTACGGCTAATACTTTCCGAGTTACAGCCGAGAGCTGTTCTTAGTGGGACACCCTGTACTTGATGTGTTTTTTTAGTTTTGTACCTTTTGTTAACCTTTTAATACGTTTTTTTCGTATTTAATTAGTATGATAACATCGTATACACCATAGGCGTAGTCAAAACATTTGTCAAAAAATATTATTGACAGCTAGGTTAAGAAAAATATGTGCCACGGCACTGTTTGGTGGTTATTTGTCCTTGGATTCTTTAGTCATCGGGCTGAACATTCTATACCCACCTAAGGAATATATTGTTGATCTGTTTCCTTATGAAGGCCCTGAGGCCGAGGAACTTGCCGTAGATCCGGTGCAGCACCGTCTTGAGGAAGTCCCTCTCGCGCGGGTCCTCCGAGTCGAACAGCTCCAAGAGCTGCAGCACGAACTTCTGGTCGATGACCCGCTTGCCGATGGTGGGCTGGAAGTCGGAGCTCTCCAGGAAGCGCAGGAAGAACTCGTAGACGACCTGGAGGTGGGGCCAGCTGGCCTCCAGGGTGGGGTCGTCCTCCTCCGGGTCGAAGTCGGGGTTCTCGCTGGGCGGCAGCGTGCGGAACAGGTTCGTCGATATCTGCAACGTGGGAAAGAAGAAACAAGTTAGAATACTTGGACGAATAACATAAGAAATAGCCATAGTATAAGGAAACTAGTAGCTTTACTCCTTGTCAAATCCTTTGTTCTTTTTCTGCCACTTTATATGACCTTGTTCTCGCGTCCCGTGACCACTGACGTAGCTGTATAGTCGTGGTCTATAACTAGACAAAGTATAGTCGTGGTCCATAGATGTACAGAGATGTATTTAGGAAAATATGAGTTCACAATAAAATAAAATAAAAAAAAATTGATCATCGAGTAAAAATTTGCTTGAAAATAGAATATTTTCACATTTCGTGTAAGTAACAATTAAATCCACCATATTATTATTAGTTACCATATTATCAAGAAATTATGTTTTTAACTAAAAACTAAAAAAAAATTCCAGATTTTTTTTCAAAAAAAAATTGCGCAAAAAAATCCTCATATTTCTGGGGGGCTAAAATATATTACCCCTAAACACTTATTTAAGACTCACCCTATATAGGGCGATTCACGGTTATGGTACGTTATAGCGCTTCCGGAACAGGAGCTGTTTTTCGGAACCTAATAACATGCCTCTAAGGAACCGGGATTTCCATTTTTTATTTCGGTACTTTCGGTACTAAAAAATTTTTGTTCAATGATGGTGCAGTTTGTTAAACAGCAAGCAAGGGATGGTTGTCAAAAGTAAAATCGAGGTTTAAATCAAAATAATATCAAATTATTAAGTAGTAATCAGTCATGAGAAAATTACCCTTGACACAAACATGATCACAAATGACTCTCAAAAAAAAATTCAAAGCACAATTTGTTGAATTATTACTACAACCAATAGCAGCACACAGTAAGGCACTCATTTTTTGTCAATCCGTCTCTGTGCTGGAACGCAACGCTCGAACCTCGCAGGTCGACGGACGGAACTCAACTGAAACGCTCTGCAATCTGCCTATATTCTACAGATTGTAAAATCTGGCAGGAAATATTTGGGAGAGTGCAACTACTCTTTTCCTTCTACTATGATATAACGTCCAAGAAAATAAGCCTTGAAATACGAATGTATGGGAAAAACTTGAATTTTTGATGAATTTTGAACAGAGATTCCTACTGAAAATAATATCTAATTATTAAGTAATCAGTCCTAGGACTTTACTTTTATATATATTCGAGCGCATCTATCTTTACCCATTTCTCTGAGTTGTTAAAAGTTTAAAATAGGAATCGAACGCTTCGCGAGGTTTGTCGATAGAAACCCCTACAGTACACCTGGAAATAACACATTATTCTTTAACACGTTCATTCATGGAGGATATCGATCACGTGATTAAGCTTTATAATCCATCGATTGATGCGAAAGCGTGATGCACTGACGCCTACATTATTCAGAGCGAACTTTTTTCGTATATTGACAACAAGAGGGGTGACTTATATCTTACGTCATTGTGGTTATCAATAACGGCCCCGTGAATATAAGACAGGGGCGGATCTAGACTTTTTTCGATAATCGAGTTTGCAACAAATAGTCAAAATCGTTCTTGACTAAATGTGTTTTCACGTGATGCTTCAATGTAAATTAAATGGGCTAACGTTAGGATTGCCAACTTCCTCAATTCACTATACCGGGTGTTGCATCGTCGAGCGGGACATAGGAAATCCCATGTAAATTTCAATGGGGTTAATTATTGACTTCCCTAATTATTTTAGAGAATAATTCTATTTAGGTTTATTGACGAGCACTAAAACCCACATTTCAAACGAATAACTTTAGATATTTTTGATTAGCCCGTTTACGAGTTATCGCCGATTTCTTTTTAAATATTTCTCCTTTCTTATGTCCCTGTATTTACTTATGAGCACCAGTCAAGGTAAAAGATAACTGTCAAATGAAGTTGTCATTTCAGAAATTTATCTATTTAGTGCTTTATTATTATTATTAAAAAGTCATACCTACATCGAAAATACTGGAATATCTACAATCGCAAGGAATATCCAGAGATTTGAGACCAAAGGTACCCTAATAAATAACTGCAGATGTGAAGCAAGGCAGGAACAAAGAGAAGATGCAAGAAATGATACCGACTTGGAAGTTTTATTGTGCGTGGAAGAAAACATTTCCAAAGCACCTTTTTACGTAGAATTTAATGGTTTAAGTATAATTTTTTTAAAATTAATAATTTAAGAATTATCAACAGAAAATTTGATTTTTTATATGAGACACCCTGTATATCTTTAATTTATTGAAAAGAATTTAAAATTACCTTTCCAAAAATATAACACACTTGATATTTTGCTCGATTCCTCTTCGAGATATAGAGTATACAAAAATTCGCTCACTTTAATTAAGTAGGCTTTGAATGGCACCGGCTGTAATGCAAAAAAATTCTAGCTGTGAGCATCAATTAAAACGAAAATAATATTTGCTATGAGAGATGCAAAATTTTATAACAATTTAAAATATATTTAACCAACATCAACACATTTAAACTATATCTGATAAGAATAAAAATAAATAGCAAACCAACATATCAACCGTCTTCTGTTATGGACAGACGAGGCAGTTTTTGAACATTTCTCGCGGAGTTCATTAACTCAGTGGGGGTGAAAGATACCCTCTCATAACTGCTAAGTATTTCTAATTCTTGTCTAGATTATATGGAAGAATAAGGAACCTTTATTCTTCCGCAAATATATCCATAGGATTAGATCCATGGGCACTAAGTCAGGTGGCCTCGACGGCCAACGGCTGCGATCTTGGTTAGCTATTCAATTATTCTTGAAATTGGCTGCAAAAATTTGCTGATAACTTCAGCGTTCTGAGGCGGTGCCTCTTCTTGCTGGAAAAATATGTTTTCGAGTTCCAGTAAGGGCATATCATCAATAAGTGGTCCAAAGCCTACTAGTTTAAAGAGGCGAACTTTTAAAAATTCTGTATTTCGAAGGGGATTATAACAAAATATCAAGTGTGCTATATTTTTGGAAAGGCAATTTTAAATTATTTTCGGTTAATTAAAAATATAGAGGGTGTCCCAAATAAAAAATCAATTTTTCTGTTGATAACTCTTAAATTATTAATTTTAAAAAAATTATACTTATACCATTAAATTCTACGTAAAAAGGTGCTTTGAAAATGTTTCCATAGAAATACAAAATTTTCCATAGCAAAAAAGTTACAGCGATTTGTTAAAAATGCACATTTTTGAAAAACACCCCGTAACTCCTAAACGGTAACAGATATTGATGTGCGGTTTTCACCATCATGCTTTTGATGAAAATTGAGCTCCAGACACCGATATTAGTTTTCGTCTATCTGCTATAGAAAAGGGTGTTTCCATTTAAAAGCGTCGAATTTGACCCACCCTGTACAAACCTATCGATGAAAATATGTATGAAATCAAGGTTGGTATAGTTCCAAGTTTATTATAGTGATTTTCTTAGCCACGTATGGCACAGATAGTTACCCAGTGTTGCCACAAGCTTTTTTTTTTCAAAAGCAAATTGTTCATCGGGGTAGATTATAACGAGAGAGAGAGGGGTTAAATTGTTTTACAAAGAGGTAGCTGTGGCAACACTGCCGCTACCACTTTCTCTCTCGTTTCGGGCATCACGGCCGTCTCGCGGCCGTTATTCAAGGTCACTACGTTACGTACACTTGAAAAAAACTAAGTACAAGTTGATCCACTGACCATTTTAATAATTTCTGGATAGACTGGTTCGGTGAGGACGCCCCTGCCGGCGGTGATGTAATCCACCAGCTCGTTGAGCGAGCACCGCTTCACTTCTTTGCCCTTGAGGTCGGCCACCGGGTCCATGAAATCGAAGGGCACGCAACACTGGCGCAGCTTGCGGATGAACAGGTCCTCTTGCTCGCTCGCGGGCACATCTGGAAAAAGAAGAAAAAAAGTCAATAAGTTTCGGCGGCTCGAGGAAAAGCGCGTTCTCGTGAGTCAAGTGAATTGATCAAGTCAAAATATTTGGACACGTATGGCAAAAATTGTTTCAAGCTTCTCAAAAAAACATCAACTCGTAATTCTCTACAATTTACCTAAGTATTTTTGTGAAGAACTTGGTAGAATATGCTTTCTTTTACTCTGAGGCATTAGCCTGAGGGACGAGCTAAAATCGGAAATAAAAAATCGAATCAGTTCCTAACCTCATTATACCGGTTTTAATTACTACCGCTAGTCAATTTACTCCCGTCTGCCATGTTGCCTCCGTAAAGTAATCGCGAAGGATGAAGGAGATTAATCAATTAATTTCTCTACGTCTTCGATCTCCTTTACCGTATATATCAGTGTCTGGAGTAATTCATAATATAATAATAATCGTCTTTATTAAAGAAAAAGATGGTGTTACATTTTGTTTCAGATGTTTTAATTTTAACAAATTTATTTTCCAACTATACACACACACACATTACTGATTAAATATAACACCCTTGGGGCATCAGGGGGCACCCCATTGTATTTACCCCTTACTTCTGCATGCGGGGCTCTCTAGAAGTGGACCGACTATCCCTAGCGACACGTGGGAACACTATGAGATCTAGTATTAAAAACACCACCGGTGAAGCTGTGGGGAAGCCCCCTAGCGACACTGGGAACATTACAAATGAAAGTTCCAAGGGATCAAATCCAAAGGAAACTACAGGAGGAGCGGCTGACACTTGCTTGGGATCATCCTCCACAAGTGGCACACAAGCTACCACCTTCTTCAGCAAGGGTCGGAAGCCTACCTCTAGACCCAATAAGCGACATAAGCTACCGTTTCGTCTACCCGGCCTGGGTCAACCAGGCGGGCTAGACGATCCTCTGAGAGTAGGTCTTAGCGGAGCAGAAGCACGGAGATACCTCCGACTGCTCCTCGAAGTACTCGCTCCAGAGCAAGCAAAAGCGAAAACACTCCTCCAAAAAGGGGAGAGTAAAGAAACCAAGAAACAACCTGACTCATCTCCATCAAAGAGCAAGAGAGGGAACGAGAACCTCTCACCTTTTCTCTGGCAGGGAGAGAAAAAAGTCCGGATGGAAAGCCATTCAACACCGGGAGACAAGCAGGGACGTATCACAAGCTTTGCCGCTATTGCTGGACAAGTGAAAATGGCGGTGCTGCCAAAGTATTTCACAGAGGTTGCTCTGACCACCGACCAGCAAACGTCTCTAGAAGAGGCTATACTGGACGAAGTAGTAGCGATCGGACCGCAACACAACGTTCTACAAAATGTGCGTGAGCTGCGTTTTGCGGGGATACACTTTCGGGTGGGCATGATCCTCATAGATTGTGTACCTCAAGAATCGGCGAATTGGTTGGTGGAAATCGCACCTAAGCTTAAAAACTGGCAGAGGCCGGAACCGGTTGCAGTGAAGGGAGAAAACATCCCTAAAAAGGCGGCCATAACGGCCTTTCTGCCGAGGAGCAAGGGGAAAGACACCACCTACCTGCTGAGCCTTATCTAAGGTCAGAACTTCAATGTAAAGACATCGAGTTGGCGAGTCATCAACTCGAGGAAGGAGAGTCATAATCAGGTCCTAACAATAGGAATTGACCCCAAATAAAAGGAGGCAATAGAGAAAGAGGGACATATCCCCTATTATAGATACGGGACAACACCGGTATATCAGGTCTAAGGAGGGACCAAGTTAAAGAGGTGGAGAAAATGGAGACAGATCCTCCAGCCTCCACCTCACGGGTTCCTCAGCCGGAGGCAAGCTCCTAGACTGTGAAGAGCGGCACAGAGGGCCAAACTCAAACCGTGGAAGGGTGTGTACCCTCGGAGGAAGAACTGTTGTCAGAGGAGGATGGGAAATACCCTGTCCCCTCTACAACAGGGGTATGATGGGTTAGATTGTGTGATGACTCAAGGAAGGGGGGTACAATAGATCTGTAAGGTCGCAGTGATTCCCCCCCCCCCCACTCTTACTCATTCTACATTCTACAAATATAACATACAAATAACTATTTTTACTATTTAATTGACGTTAGCAAATTAATGTGTGTGTGTGTACTTGATATATTATAGAAATATAACGAAATTATTTATTACTTCATAATTGGTTGTGGTATTTAATCGAATACCAATACCAATATACAGGTAAATCTAGCAAATGTTTTCGGATGGGAAATTAAGGATAAAATAATGGGATGAAGGAAAAAGGTAAACAATTCCCAAATTACCTAATATTAAATCATAAATTCATACATCTTTTTGTATCAATTTTCAACTAAAAAAACACCAATTACAAGAGCAAACATCTGATTTTGACGCCGATAATAATCTTTAAGTAATTTACATATAACACGTTTTAAGAGTAAACAAGAAAAGACCTTGTTCCGTAACGAATTCTTTATGTCGAAAATTATATCGCCACTACTTGACTAAATAATGATGGGATGATTGCATATTTGTCTTGCTGGTTATTACTTCCAATTAGCGCACGGCTAATTGGCGAAAATTACCGAACAGATACGAAAACAGACGATATATTCTTAAGAGAAATAAGTAAACCAAAAGAGGCTTAAAATGCTTGTTGATAAAACATTACCTTACTGATTTTATCTTGTTATGCTTGCCACAGAGAGTTTTTTACATACCGGGTGCGTCTCAAAGGTGGCTCACCCCTATAACTTTTTTATTTTTCAGATAAAAAAACGAGATTTGGTTCATTAGTAATATGACATAAATTAGGACTTATTGACTTATTCAATTGTTTTTGGCCACTTCTTGTTTCACCGGAAATGACTACAACTTTTGATTTTTAAATGGCATCCTCGGTTTATTTCTAATTTATTCGATAGAAACTCTTGACACTCTGAATAGAATGACATAATATCATATGTCAATTAAATAAACTTAAGATTTTTTTAAAAATAATACTGACACTAATATTATTTTTTTGCATATGGTTAGTTTTTGAAACAAACAATTTGTTTGCGATTATACAACCTCGTGTATTACACTGTAATAAATAATAGGGGAGATCAGGTACAATTGTAACGCGGTACAAATGTAACAGGTACCATAACTTTTTTAAATTCAAATACATTATTATGGCACCTTGTCGGTTATTCAAGTTTAAGACTCAGTACAATCTGACGACAATTGAGACTTTTGCAATGTGTTGTGAACATACATTTAATATGGTTATATGTATATGTATATTCGACAAATTGTATAAAATATTATTTTTACCCTTATTCTACGGCTATGCCTAAAGAATTTAAGGTACGAAAAATACCATCAACATTATTATTCTTCTCAGAAAGATGGGTGATGCAAATAAACAGAACCATTACCTTAAGATGAAATTTGGAAGAAATAGTCATAAATAGTTGCATCATTTTTAGTTTTCCTTTTGTAATTCGTTTACTTTCAGACGCGATGTCTGGTTTCTATTTACTTAAGAAATGGTCATGTTTGTCCCTTTGCAAACCTACCTGAAAATATTATTAAGAAATAGTAGGTACGCCCGTGGATTTTCGGAGAGGGCATTCTCATAAAAGCACGGTCACAGAAGGGACCGGGGACATTCATAAAAATTTTTCATAGACGTAATACTGCTAAATTTATATTTTGTATTAAAAGTTTAAAAATAAAAAGTAATAACAACTTAGTAAGAATTTAATTATAAAAAATAAAGAATAACATTCCCAACAAGTGGTGATACGAGTCAAATAGAGAACTACAACATTTGGTGGCAGCGACTACAAGATTGGTGACGACGGTGGTCCAATCCAGGATCACGACATTGGTGGCAGCGGTGGGATACTACCAAGGTTTCCTGAAGGTGCGCCAGACGCAGCAGAAAACCTACCAGTTTTTGGAAGAAGATAGAGGCAACGGGCAGTTCTTGAAGGTGCACCAAGAAGCAGCAAGAAGCCCGACACGAGACGTAGACATTGGGGACACTGAAGGAGCGCCAGACGCAGCAGCAAGTCTCCAGGAAAGCTTTTGTTTTCACCAGATGATGACGGGGTAAGTCTTTCATTTGTTTACTGTATTGTGACGCTACTGTTTTTCTTCTGATTTTAGTTAGTTAGATTTAAGTTAAGACAATAATAATTCTGGGCTGCAAATAACAAAAAAAAAAAAAATATTGCTTAAAATTCGTAAATATTTTTTTCTCTTCAAACTAAAAATACATCTATAAAAATAAATAATAATTCTTAAACTAAAGTAATAAATCATTAATAAAATATAATAATGGCAGGAGGTAAAGACGCAACTGATGTTCTGAATTTAATAAATTCATTTGATGGTCAGGGTGACGCAAATTCACTCCAATTTTTCTTAAAAAATTGTGATTCAATATTAAAAATTGTCAAAGTGGATCAAAAAGAATTACTAGTAGATTTAATTTTTGGTACTAAATTAAAAGGGAAGGCACAAGAGGTAACACAATATAAACAGTTTCAAAATTGGGAAGAACTAAAAGATTTCTTATTAGAGCACTTTACTGATAAAACACCACCATCGCATTTTCTAACACAAATAATGAATATAAAGCAACATTTTAAGGAAACTGTAAAAGAATATGGCGATAGATTACAAATTCTCTTTAATAAATATAAAGAAACGTGTCACTTAAATTATGCAAATAACGAAGCTACTGTTTTAATAGAAAATTTAAACTCCATTTTAGTCAATACTTTTAGAAAAGGACTCAACGATGAAAAAATTCAAATGCGTATTATTGCCGAAAATACTACATATTTAGATAAAGCTTTATCATTAGCAATTGAAATGGAACTTGAGAATAATGACAGGTTTAAAAACTCGCATTTTAAAAATATAGGTTTTGTAGAGCGTGGAAATAGACAATTAAATAATCATTCTTCTAATAATTCCTGTTTATTTTGTTTTAAAAATAATCATTTAACATCACAGTG